TTCCACTAAAATAATGATGATATTCAACAAATACGCAATGATCTCTATGTTTAAAACCAAATTAGTTTCCTAGTAAGGCACGCGCTTGTGGTAGAGACAAATGAAAAAGATCACCACCAAGAGTAATTACTTCATATGCCATGAAGCCAGGATAGCGGTGAAGATTTTTTCGCCCAGATCACTTTATTCGGTTTACAACCATAAAAAAATACAATTTGAGCAATTTTGCAAAATTCGAAGATTTACAAGAGTTATTGTTATCAACTTTTTTTTTGATGAATTCAGTCATTATTTATTATCCACTGATTCATGGCATGTATCTTGCTGGCTTTTTTTGCGACAATAGTTAATTAGACACGCTTTAGCCTGATTGTTTAAATTATTCAAAGTATCATTATTTTGTACAAAATTTTTAATATTTATAAAAAATTTGCATACAAAAATGGAAATATTTATTACTTCTCGATCAGAGTTTTTAATCGTTTACATTGGATATCAATCCTTATTCTGTAATACATTATTTAAAAGAAAAAAAAAACGGTAACTTGCACGGATTCGCTAGTTGTTAATTTTTTTCGCTTCTGCCACGGGTACTTTTGCCTTCCTGCCGCGTGCAGCGCGGACTCGCAACGAGCGTGGTGCAACCAAAAAAACGCAAAAAATAAAATAAAATTTATTTATAAACATAAGCATAGATTATTTAACACAATATTTCTTAAAGTTGTATACATAAATATGTACATACATAACATGCATATTTACATATGTACGTATGTATGTATTTATGTATGGATGTATGTACATACATTAGACTGCATCACCAAAAAAGGTGCGGTTTTTGTGCCGGAATTATAAAATTTATCATATTTGAAGACGTCCACCAAAATATTTCCGAAAAACATTAAGATTTACGTGAGGTGAACCGATTTGAAAATACCCCCAAAAATGGAGTTTCTTATTAATATTTTTTTATTTGTTAAAGAAATTTTTGAAAAAAATCCCTTCAGATGACAAAACAGGTTAAGCGTAAAAAATCTGCATAAAAATGTTTTAAAATCTTTTCAAGGGAATCGTAAAAATGAGATTTTTGATGCTGTTTTTATACTTTTTTCAAAGATTGATTTACGAAAAATCTAAATAACTGGGCCAAAACTATTCGGATTTAGACTACTAAGATCTCGGTAGAAAGGTGTTTTCCCACTATTTTTGTTTATGTGCAAAAAAAGTCATTCCTGTCCCAATTTCTTCTTAATTCAACTTTGAATGATGTTCGTTCATCCAACCTTTCTCTTTTATCCTTTGAATGAGCTTATTAGCAAATAAATAAAAAGGGTGAGAAAATACCTTTCCAATGATACCTCACAAGTTTAAGTGGGAGTAGTTTAGGTCCAATTATCCAAGTTTTCTTATTCCAGTCTTTGAAAAAAGTTAAAAAAAAAACGGCATCTAAAATCTGAGTATTACGATTCCGTTGAAAAGTTTTTTAAATTTGTTAAGCTTAAACCGTTTTGTCCCTTGAGAGGATTAAAAAAAAAGTCTTTAAGAAACTAGTTTTATTCATAAGAAGCTCCATTTTCGGACGTCTTAAAATATAATAGATTTTATAATTCCAATGGAAAAAGAATACCCTTTTTTTTTGTATGGGGAGGGATGCAGTCTAATGTATATATCAGAGCTGTAAAATGATTGCATCAGTAAGATCTGCATTCACTCGGCATTCTTTTAAAATTTTGATTGTTTGTTTGTATAAAAAACACCTCATTCCTGAGTGGCCTAAATTATTTTGAAACAAAAACAAACCTAATGTGTTATTCAATGGTAGAGTTCCATTCAGTATAGAATGTGAATGTAACAGAAGCATTCGCAATCATTGTCATGGTCAATTTTGGTTGAATGCAAATACTTTTGATCATTCAGTAATACACTGAAAAAATACGCCTTGACACTAGAAGAAAATCTTTATTACTACCAAGTCAGAGAAGCCTCTCCGATTGTTTTAATGCTTTTATCTAGCCGTTCGCGATGTATCGATTTATAAAGCGAAGTCCTGTTTTTCTTAAATACCCATAACTTAGCCAAAATTTGGCCAGTTGGTACTTATTTTATTGGTATATTTTTTTTTAACTGTCACCCGTTCCGCAACTTCTAGGCCTAGTCCAATAATGGTGTAACAATGCTCTCTATCTTTTCCGAATTTTTAAATTAATGAAATTCTAACAAATATTGTCCACATAATCTCAGACTAAGGCTTTCTGCACATTGGTCGTCTAATCATAGTTGCTTCATCGTTATAATTGTGATGCAACGAGTACATGATGACTACACTTTCGCATACTCCGTCGTGGTACTTCAATTCATTTGGCGTCTAAAAACAACAATTTTAAACATAATTTTTCAGTAATATCTCTTCTTTTCTTTTCCTGAAATGTGTTTCGTGCACGCACGGAGAGACTTTATCTTTTATTGAATTTAATTGCAATTATCCACTTCTTAATTATTTCCACAGATCTTATGCAAAAAATACGAATTTTTATGCAATTTTAATGGAAATATTACCTTTTTCAATAATTTTTCCCCATAAAACAATGCATGCACAACGATTAGCAAACGACAGTGCCGTACTTATCCGCTTCTGCATCTTCTATAATTTGCCGATAACAAGTCGCTAACGACAAGTGTGGAGATCTCCTTCGAAATGCATGTGCTCGGCTTAAAATTTCAAGGCGAAACGATAACGCAACTATGATTAGACGACAAGTGTTCAGATAGTCTAAGTCAAATCAAATTTATCAAAATCATAAAAATGCCACCTTTAAGAGGAAGAAATTATCTATATATGTATTTACAAAGGTATTTACTACGCTATGTCCAATCCCCATCGCGTAATCAATTGTTATCGTCTTCACTTACGATTGGTCAAACGCTTGGATACTCGTACATGGCGTATGAGTAACATTATTTCCTGCTCATATGCATTTCATAAAAAAGTCTTAATTGAATTTACCAATCGATTACGCAAAAGTGTAAGTCATGACGCAATACTTCTCACTGCAGTTATGTAGAAAATTTATTTTCCTACAATGAGGTATAAATATTTATATTTTTGATTAATGCATTTGATTTGAAGCCGGCAAAGTGCTTGGCGTTGAATAGGACAATATTTGCTAGTTTTTCATGTATTTAAAAATTCAAAAAGATAATAATTAAACAATTTTATAACATTTTGACATAAAAAAATATTTATTCCTCTGCCGGAGAGTTATTCGTCGCCATTCCATTGTGAATAATATGCAAAAAAAGTTATTCCGCCGTCGCTCAGAATTGCTAGGCCGTTGAATAAGAACGAATAACGGCAAGTGAATAATATGGCCGTAGGTCACTAAAAATATATAAAAATATAAATAAATAACGTGTAGTATGAGAAAATAACCTAACTTATTTGCTCCTCTAAAGAAGCTTTGAATGCGTTCCCAACTAGTTCCACTTTGGACAGTTCAGAGAAAATAAATTTATTTTTATTTTTTGAAAAAAGTATAATTTTATGAATGTCGAAGATCCGATTCATAAAAAAGGCACAACACCACTTGTCGGCCGCCATAGCCGAACATTAGAGGTGCTACACGATACGTTCAAGGTTCAATCCCTATTCCCAGCAACATGTATCGCAACCAAAAATGTCACAAACAGCGGTCGACCATTGCTGGGGTAATTGCTTGTTTGCTCGGAGACATTTTGAAATACATACAAGTGTACTGCGGAACTAACGCAACGCTAGACTATCTCAAAATTTCGCTACAGGGTTTGTATGTATGTGCAGTAGTGTTCAGAAATAGTTGCCACTGTGTGAATCCAAATAAAAGGAAAACATTGAGGCCGGGGCGTATGAGTAACATAAAGTTATTCAATTGAACTTATGAATAAAAAAAATGCCTGCACGAAGGGTGAATCAACAAAGACAGCTTTTCATAATTTATTGTAGCAGATAGAAAAGGTCCTGCCCAACAACGAAGCACACAATCGGGGTTTTTTCGACCAATGTGTAGTTCTTAAAAATGTTTCCATCCAAGTGTATCTTTCATTTCATTATTATTGGAGGGTTTAGAATCAATCGTCAGTTAATCCTGCCATACATCATTTTGTTGCTAATATTTTCAATTGTCGAACAGTAATTGTTAAGTGGGGTTCAGCGACGATGACGAGGAAGGTAATTCGAAGCAATCCTCTGGAAGTGGAGAGGCTCCTAGAATGATAGCTTATGCTGATTATCGAGCAATTAGTAACTTTGGCAGATGTTTGAAGTCGATGAGTGAAATTCTCGAGACGAAATTGAAACTGAACTGGAGCGGTAGGGTCCGAAGTAAATATAGAGAAGAAGAACTTGGTTCTTCTTTATCCAACCTGGGAAATGGTACTCTAAATCCTAAACCCTTTATCTTTACGACTATAATGAGAAACCCGCTTTCCGCTAGACAATTAATGAATGGGATAGACGAAATCTGCGTTAACAGACGAGTTGCTTAGTTAGCCAAGACACAAAGGAATTGGAGGGTATGAGCGAGTTGATTTGTTAGTCGAAACCGCGGGATATCTACAACTAGGAAGCATGCCAGACGTCTGTGGTTCTCTCAACTACTTTAGGACACAAATAGACATGACAATGAAACCGCGATTGAAGTCCCTGTGCAAGGTGCGAACCAAGTCGTGACAAAACTAAAGGTGGCTGCCTACCAAGGAAGCGTTTTCACTTTGTACGAGTGCTTGTGCCCCTTTAAATATACATTAATGAAGAAAATATAAAAAATTAATTGCACACAGCAAAGGCTTCGAAATTTCTGTCATTTTTGATTGAACTCTTTGCACGTGAATAATCACGATTTGTTTTTATAAATTGTGTATTTTAAATTTTGGACCAGTTGTTTTTATTTTATCAAAAATACCGCCTAACTGTTCCGAACCAATAAGGATAGAATAACTGATTATAAAAAATTAAAAGGTATAGATACGCTTTAGCTAAGAAAAAGTATAAAAAAAAATCCAATTGCTTTTTGAAAATCAGCAAAGATTTATGAAATATGCATGTGTGTATAAGGATATGGGCGAAATAAAAACTTGTACCAATTTCTTTACTAGAATCTCAGATATTTGGATCATTGAAGACCTCACACTTTTTGAACGACAAGCCCAACCTCAATTATTATCTGAGTGTAACAATGTCCAACGGTGCTCTGCCAAAAACGAAGACATCCAAATCATCACTGAAGTACGCCGACTGGCGCGAAGAGGCAAAGGTACAAAATTGCAAAAGTGAATTCTCGTTCGAATTGAAACCGAAGCCAAAATTGACCTGCATCCCCGAGAGTTGTAGTAAATTCTTTAGTGATCTGAGGTGAGTTGAGCAAACGACAAAATGTTTCGGCTTCTGATTGATCATTGTAATGAACCAACTTGCAGAAAGACGCAATCAATGAATGCAATGAAGAAAAATGAGGCGCCGGAGAAATCGTGGTCGGTTTTGTTCATCGGTTCCAAGAGCAACCTGCATGCCAATAATCTTATAATGTAAATGGGCGGCTAAATGTTAAACCCATTTTGAGGATGAACCTCTTCGTTCTGCAACTTGATGCTAAACAAAATCCTTTCACCAAATTATTGTGTACTATTAAGACTTTCAGAAATTAATTAAAAATGTTATACAAAATTGCAGATTATTGTGATGAAAATAATTAGTACAATAAAAATCCACCTTTTTTATTACCTTCCTTTTATTAGCTCGGGATGTAACTAAGTAATATTGATGCGCCTAAAAGATGCAGCGATTTCTATTCTCAAGTTACATACCTGATGACAGTACGAATGGTAATTATAATAGGGAGGTTTTAGTTTTTTAAACTATAATTTTATTATTTAGTTTAGTTAGATGAAGAATGAAGATGCACCTAAAGGTCATCCATAAAACAACTACATACACATATATATATATATGTATATGTTATACTCCGCATTTAGTTTATTTAAACATTTGGTTTGTCTTAAAATGAACTCAACGAAAACTAATGAACATCAAATTCCAGAATCCGAACTCCATGGCTCTCAGATCATTCATTCGTTCAAGCTATAGACCACAAGCGCCAATACGCAGTCAACTTGAGCTTCCTGACAAGCAAATGCATTTTACGCATTTCAGTATTTGGTGCTTTTATCACTCTGATCCGGGGTTTGAAAGAAGCTGGAAAAAAACTGTTTCTCAAAAAGCGTTGAATTTATAATGCGATTTTTGAATTCTTAAAACTCCACCCAAGCTTTGGCCCTTGTATTTTATTTGTCAGGAAATTTTAAAAATTGCCCAAGAGTGAAAATATACGCGTTAAATGAAGAAAACGTAGCTACTCAATTTGAAAGTAAGTAAACAGTTCTGCTGAGCTTATTATTGCACCCAAGGGGTATTAATCCCGAACGTGTTTCGTAAGTCGATTCGACTAACACAAATCGTGTTTCGCTTTGTACCTCTTTCTGAAGTCATTCCCGTGTTTGTGGAAATTTTGTGTGATATGTAATAGAGAAAAGAATATGTATGTATTTAATATATTGTTAATGTGTTTTAAGAAATACATAGAACTAAAAATCATAAAATGTATTTCACTTTGTAACTGTTTTATGTTTGCTCAAAGTTGGTGTTAGTTGTTTCGACTAACAAGTCCGCAGACAGGGTCAAAAGAGCGATGGACTTTCAGGGTTAAACAACGTGTGATTGACAACCATTGACCATTCAGTTTGGCTTCTTTTAATTAATTAATAATTTTTTTTTTAATCTGACTTATAGGATGGTTCTTAGACAATGTCAAATTCAATCACACTTTGCGAGATACAGTTTGAATGCACCTACATTAGACTGCATCAAGTTTTTCTTATACCAATTTTGGAAAAAAGTTAAAAAACAGCATACAAAATCTCATTATCACGATTCCGCTCAAAACTTTTTTTTTTATTTATTTTTAATATTTTTACGTAATTTTTTTAAGCTTAAACCGTTTTGTCATTTGAGGGGATTTTTTCAAAAAACATCTCTAAGAAACTATTGTTATTCATAAATAATTCCATTTTTGGATGTATTATCAAATCGGTCCAGCTCGATTAAATCTTAATATTTGTCCGAAATATTACGGGACATTTGGCAACGCTAATATGTATGTAAATGTGTACATTCATATATATTTGATTTTGCAAAATCAGTGCATCACTATAAACAAACTGGTTATATACACAATAAAATACTGAAATGGAAAATATAATATTTTTTTTGTTGTAATTTTTCCTTTAAAAATTATTCCAGCAAATTGCAACTGCGAAAAAAATCTCATATATCAGCACTCTTCTTCTTCTACACAAGTATGCACATATGTACATATTTATTTACCAAATAAGTCATCTCTCCACATAGAAGTACGTCTCGCTTATTTACTTAAAGATTGTCACATCTCAAGCCAGCCAGCTTTTTAGCTGGCGCCTTTACAGTTTTAAATTTAATCTCAAAATGCAGAAAATAAAAGTGGCATATTCACTTCTCACATGGGAACTGAACATGAATTTAGCATGTAATTTTTACACAATATGGATCATAATGAAACCAATAATGTTACATAATTAGCTCAAAACATACGTTTTTTGAGTTGTGACTGTCTTTTAATAAATAAGCGGCATGGACACAAATTTTTGCGCCAGTACAATATTTTCATACCCACAATGTGGACGTGCATTTCATTCAGTTAATTTGTCTTTTACCCAATGATTCATAGCGTTGCAAATCAGCTCTTCATAATTCAAATTTCGATGGAAGTCATGAGTGATTTAGTTTATGCCAACGCATTTTTTGCGAAAATGTTTATACAATTCGTACATTTATGATCATTAGTAAGAGATGGATTATGATTGAATGCTATGGATATGAATCAATAGTAAGTTATGTAACTACATATCTATGCATGTGTGTGTCGCGGATAGGCAACTGGGAAAGCATTGAAGATGTGGAGCTTTCTCTGTGTTATATTTTACTTTAAAAAATTAACAACAATTACAAATTGGAAAATTTGTTAAAAAATTAACAACAATTAGAAATTGGAAAATGTTTTAATTCGTTTTTTGTCAAGAAAAATTTTTTTTCAGTTGGTTGAAATGAATTGAATATACATAACGTTAAAATATTAATCAGTATTATATTCAACCATGATACAATAATTTTTAGAAGGTAGTTTCACTTCAAAATTTTTGACATAAACCGTGTCTGTGACAAACACGCAATGTGGCCACTGCTACGATATAGAACTTGGGGATTATCGCTTGTTATTTTAGATATTTTTTAACAGAACATGTAAAGACATATATGTTTCATAACTGATCCCTTAAATTTTAATATAAATATACGTATTTAATACATAAATTTTTGCCACTTCTAATCACATGAATAAAAATCATAAAAATGAAAATATAACGGCAATATTTCTTGTTTATAATGAATTAGATCCATCGCACACCACGTACTTTATCGGCCGCCGATTTAGATGGGCTCGCTAGTCTTTCCATTGCATCACAACTTATTTCTCGGAGCGATTAAGCTGGTGTAGTGTGCGCACCTCCATACATCTTCATGTACATATTTAAAGCGAGCCTTACTATTTAAATAGGCGGCCGATAAAGTATGTGGTATGCGGTGGCTCTTATAGCTGTATCCTTACATCTGTTCCGTGTGTTGCAATCATTTTTTATGAAGCAAATTATTAAAAAATATTCGAAAATTATTATTTATTTTTCCAACGTCAAAAGCTGGATTCTTTTTTTTTTTAAGTTGGTACAACAAAAAATACGAAACACGTTTTCTGTCAGATAGCTAACATGTCGGATAAGAAGAAGAAGTGAAACTACCTTCTAAAGCAGGGATCACACGATTTGTACATTTGTACACAAAATGCCAAATTTAGATTTGTCCACATTTGCGCATTTGGACAGCGATGTACAAATGATTTGTTTTGCGATCAGACGATTTGGTGTCAAAGATCCAAATGATTTGGCACACATTTGCGCACGGCAGTAAAGTGACAAATATTGTCCACATTCATTCACACGATTTAACCATTTGGTCATAAATACTTAAACAGCTGATCCGGTGTCAACCATACTTTTGCATTTATGATTTCGTGAGATTTGAAGTGAAATAAACAAAAATAATATATACGCACAGGTACTCAGAATTTTGAATACACCCTCAAAATCTGGGCTAAAAAAACGCGTTTTTCATAGGTTGAAGCATATACTTGCTCGTAACATATTTCTGTTTGTCCGATGAAAAATACTTACATATGCCATTTAAGAGAAAACATTTCGTTGTTTACAACCATTTATATATGGTTAATTTGTCTTGAGTATGGCCACCCTATGTATGTATGAAATCTACCACATATTCGCGTTTTTGAGTAGTTTTATTTTTGCTCAACATAATTTTCTTAATTTTAAGAGCAAAAATTGTCCAACACTAAACACTAACAACAAGCAGAATGGGAGGATAAAATAAACTGTAAAATATTAAATTTTCTCAATATTCAGTTTTTCGACATCAAACGTGATTTTATTGTGTTAAATTGCAAAATATATGATTTATAAAAAGAATTAATAGCGAAAATGATAAAAACCGGCGATTTTTGTGAAAAGATTAGCAAATTTCAGTGTCTATTTCTAAAGGGTTATTTCGGATGTAAATGGCAATCCGTAGCAAGCCACATTTGTTCGCTACATCGTGATGTGATAAAAAGAAAAGCTGGCAGCACTCCGCAAGGTTCCAGAAATCTTTCAAAAAATGTTTGAAACTGTCAAGGAAAAAAATTGCCAAAACTCCAATTTTTATGAACTTCAATCTTGCACTTTATTAAACTAAAATTAATTTTGTTTTAGATTATAATTAAAATGTTTGCAATTTAGGTGGAACCTTGCAGATTTTTTTTTAATTTTTGTACAAAGTTTGATCCAAAACCTGAGATCTACCACATTTTTTTGAAGTCTACCACATTTTTTTCCAGATTCTACCACACAATTTTTTTAGTCCGATCACTGATTCCTTTGCCATTTCTTGAGCAAAGCGAAATGTCTTATACTTGAATCACATACATATATACGTATTTTTCACCGGGTAAACAGAAATAAAGTTGCGAGCAAGTATACCTGTGCGTCACCCTTTGAAAAACGCGGTTTTTGACCTTAAGCCCATATTTTGAGGGTGTATTTAAAATTCTGAGTATGCAGATTTTACTGCTTGAATAGACCTACAACAAGTGTTAACCTCGAAAAAACTATATAATTTTTTTTTGTCACACAGTGTAATTTAGATCGTCTTTAATAATCTGTATATCGCCGTTTAAAGTACAAAACCGCGTATCAACAAAAAGGCAAAACCGCGTATGTGAGGTTGCAAAAATTATTTTCTAGAGAGTAAAAACACTCATATTTCAAAATGGTTCTCTTTTTTATAAAGCAATCGCATTTATAGATAGTATATTTCAGGACGAATGGATAAGGATT